GGAGCGTGGGGGCGGGGTCAAGTATCTTGCATAGGAAGTTGCTGCTCTAAAGGCTGAGTCCATAGAGACTTCTTGTGTCTTTCAGGACACCATCCAGCAGTTGGAAAATGAGCTTCGGGGAACGAAGTGGGAAATGGCCCGTCATTTGCGAGAGTACCAGGATCTCCTCAACGTCAAGATGGCCCTGGACATCGAGATCGCTGCGTACAGGTACGTGGTCGCCCCGGTCTCGGCTGAGGAACCAACCACAACTGCAGTGGCTGCTTCCTCAAAGCCTTCCCAACTCGAACTTGCAAGAGTCTTGGCTCAGAGACCAGATTCCCTTGCGCAATTAAAAAGAAAATAAGGCCCAAGAATTGCAAATGCAGTTTTACCATTTTTATTCACCTTTAAAGGGTGAATATGAGTTGAAATTAAAAATGTTTTTGAATTGCTGGGGGGCACACTAGTAGGCTTAAACTTTTTAAATATTTTATTTATTTTTATTTTATATGTATGTGTGTATGTGTACCCATGTCATGCAGTGCCTGCGGAGGTCAGATGATGGTGTCGGATCTCCTAGGACTGGAGTTATAGATGGTTGTTAGCCACTATGTTGGTGCTGGGATGCAAACTAGGGTCCTCTGCAAGAGCCCTCAGTGCTCTTACCCACTGAGCCATCATCCCTCCAGCCCTAGGCTTAAACTTTTTATTAAAAATGCTTTTGGACATTTGATAGGCAGGTGAAGTTTTAATTTTTAAATGTTTCATCTGATGGTTCCAACTTCTCAATTTTATACTGCCAAGGACAAACACCAGGACACTGCACTTCCGTTTCTCTCTTACAGCTTACTGTTGCCATCATCTGGCTGAGAATAGATTAGACTTATTGGAATAAGAATATATTATATTAGAAGAATATACATACATTCATTTTTATATATGTAGGAAATACAGATGTATTATATTAGACTAATGTATAGTGTAGTTTATATAACTAACTATATGTTAAGTATGATACTTATCTACAAATATCTTATATGTTAAGTATGATACTTAAATATTCAGGTCTATAGAAACATATAGAACTAAATGTAGAGACATACATAAGTATGGTCTCTGTTGATAGATACTGGCTAGAGGTCTTCTAATTAATGCAGCCTTGATGTTAACTAAATTCAAAGAGCACAGTCCTTGATTAAACAATAATTTCCAATGAGGTAGAAATATGCTTAATGGTTTTATCTCAAATGTTTAAGGTGACACTAAAGGTCTGATGCTTTTCAGGTGGAAGAGACTGGCCACTAGGGAACTTCTTAGCACATTCATACTGCACCAAGGCCAAGCTTGCTCCAGAGTGGGACTTAAGAGACTGGGTGTGGTTAGCGGTTCACTGAGAGTAGCTAAGTACTGTAGTGGAGGACCAGGTGGGAGCCCAGGAAGCTCTGTCACTGACTATGATGTGATGGATGAGGAAATGGCAGCAGACACTACAGGGGTCTATGGAATCTTTTCCTTAAGTGATTCTGTTGATTCAAAAGCACATTACCCACATGATAATAAAACTTAGAACCCCTAATTAAACTTGAATGATGTTTTGTCTTCTTTGGTTCTTAGAAAACTCCTGGAGGGTGAAGAGACCAGGTTTAGCACATTTTCAGGAAGCATCACTGGGCCGCTGTACACACATCGACAGCCCTCAGTCACCATATCCAGTAAGATTCAGAAGACCAAGGTCGAGGCTCCCAAGCTCAAGGTCCAACACAAATTTGTGGAGGAGATCATAGAAGAAACCAAAGTAGAGGATGAGAAGTCAGAAATGGAAGACGCCCTCACAGCCATTGCAGAGGAGTTGGCAGCTTCTGCCAAAGACGAGAAAGAGGAAGAAGCGGGAGAAAAGGAAGAGGAGCAAGAAGCCAAAAAGTCTCCTGTGAAGTCTCCAGAGGCCAAAGAAGAAGAAGGAGAAAAGGAGGAAGAAGAAGGCCAGGAGGAGGAGGAGGAGGAGGAAGAGGAAGGTGCTAAGTCTGACCAAGCAGAAGAGGGAGGATCTGAGAAGGAAGGCTCCAGTGAAAAAGACGAAGGTGAACAGGAAGAAGAAGGAGAAACAGAGGCAGAAGGTGAAGGCGAGGAAGCAGAAGCTAAGGAGGAAAAGAAAACGGGGGAAAAGGGTGGAGAGGTGGCTGTCAAGGAGGAGGTCAAGGTGGAGAAGCCCGAGAAAGCCAAGTCCCCTGTGCCAAAATCACCTGTGGAAGAAGTGAAGCCCAAACCGGAAGCCAAAGGGGAGAAAGCCGAGCAGAAGGAGGAACAGAAAGTTGAGGCAGAAAAGAAGGAGGTAGCCAAGGAAGCACCCAAGGAAGAGAAGAAAGAGGAGAAGCCGAAAGACGTGCCAGACAAGAAGAAAGCCGAGTCCCCGGTGAAGGAGAAAGCCGCGGCTGAGGTGATCACTGTCACCAAGTCGGTAAAGGTGAGCCTGGAGAAAGAAACCAAAGAGGAAAAGCCCCCAGAGAAGGAGAAGCAGAAGGAGAAGGAGGAGGAGGGAGGGAGTGAGGAGGAGGGGAGTGAGCGCAGCCCACAGGAATCCGGGAAGGAAGACATAGCTATCAATGGAGAGGTGGAGGACAAAGAGGAGGAGGAAACTCAGGAAAGGGGCAGTGGGAGGGAGGAGGAGAAAGGTGTGGTCACCAACGGGTTAGATGTGAGCCCGGCAGATGGAAAGGACGATGATAGGAGTGAGGAGAAGGTGGTGGTGACCAAGAAGGTAGAAAAAATCACCAGCGAGGGAGGCGACGGTGCTACCAAATACATCACCAAATCTGTAACCGTCACTCAAAAGGTCGAAGAGCATGAAGAGACCTTTGAGGAGAAACTAGTGTCAACTAAAAAGGTAGAAAAAGTCACTTCACACGCCATAGTCAAGGAGGTCACCCAGAGTGACTAAGATTCGAGTCCATTGCAAAAGGTTAAGCCATATGACAATTTCAAAATGCATGTGATTGACAGCTTCAAAACAGGGCAGGTTCTCCCATGGGGGTGCCAGACACAGTATCTTCCTTTGTGCAATATGAGGGAACTGCATGCAAGCTCAGGGTGCCCCCTCCTCAGTCTTTGGGGGATTCAAATGCATGATCATGTATGTATGTACCTGGGGAATTTGCCAATTTCCTAAGCTGTTGGGAGGGGGGCACTTGGGGGGGATGTCTTGAGGTGTATTATGCAAAGTACCAACTGAGCCAAAAATAATTAAGTGAAACACAGAACTCTCTTAGCCTTAAGAAAGCTATATATGAATACTTATGTTTACCTCACTGGTGCATTTCAAATGGACGTCTGTTCATGGGAGAACCTTGCTGACGCAGTTCCCAACCTTATGTTGATCGATGTTAAACGTCACAGCAGTACTTGCTCAATAAAGGTCATATTGGAAACATAAGTCAACTGATTGGTGTTATGTTATTTCATGGGGAAATATCTGCTAGCAGAAGCTTCCTTTCTCCAAAAACAGATTGTAGCAATTGTTAATGACCTGCTGGTAACATTATTTCTCTAAGAGAATTCACTTGGAAAACAAATTGCTTAAGGTGTTTGCAATGTGTTGAAATATTTACTTAGCCCATGCTTCATCCCCAAACTTTAAAATTGTATTTCTGAAATAAAGATAAAAGCATGAGGGGTCCAGGGATTTGGGAGAAAAGTCTTCAAGTTCCAGGTGGTTCCATCTAAGAGTTCAGAGAATCCCAAGGTAAGAGGTACGATAATGGCGTCATAACTTATACCCTGGAGTCAATTCACAGACCAAGAAAGTCATGGTATGTGTGGCACTGTCTAGAAGAAGCACCAATACTCCTAACGAAGAAATATCCACTTTGATTAACACCTATATGTACACTTACCCCCATCACTGATTGCTGGTGTGGTTGGAAGAGATTTATACTGTTCGTGTTTTAGTAGTAGGAGGAAAATAATGTCAAAGATAAATAAAAATCATTGGGTAAAGAAAAATGAGATTCTTTGACACAGGTAATGAGCAATTTTTGGTGAAAAGCCCTGGTCTTGACCAAGGGAAATAATATTATTCTCATTTCAAAACTTAATTGCCTTAAATCTTTACACTCATGAATATATTAATTAGCAAATCTTTATTTTTCTTATCAATATGACCAGCCCAATGACATCATCCTTTGATACTCTTTTTAATGTTTTTTTCAAGACACTCCAATTCAAAACTCTACATGTACCCAGGAAACCTAAAGTTAATGGCAGTTTTTATAGTGATGTTTCTCAACCGTTAGCCTCATGCCAGAACGCAGTTTTTACTTACCTGCCTGTCATCTGTACACTTATCTATTTGTATCTTTTCTTTAAAATAACTCACAATTGACATTAAAGCACTCATTTGTTTTTTCAGAAGCAGTAATATCCATGGTACGCAAAGTAAAACAGGCTTATTTAAATATATCCAGCAAAAACGGACTCTGTGGAATTTAGAAATAAAAATGAGCATATTGGAGGGATCCCAGGCAACAACTGGAATAGAAAGATGAGCAGAGGAAGCAGGAGTTGCGAAGACCTGGGACTGTCTCCTAGGAACGGAGGCTGTAGTCAGCACTGAGAGTATTGCTACATGGAATTTCCAGAACAGAGGATAACACATTTGCCCCCAACCTTCCCCAAAGATAGGAGAGGCATCTTGTTTGACAGTACCATCAAAAGTGACTCCTATGATGGGGCACCAAGACACACACACACACACACACACACACACACACACACACACACACATGCCTGCTCACCTTCCACAGAGGCCTAGGAACTTACAGAAGTGAAAACAGGCTAACTCTACATGATATGATCTATATAAACTTTAAGTAGCTACTATATAAATAAACATTACTGTAAAAATACTCATTTGTCCCTAAAATCATCTACCAAATGAGAGGGCCAATGCTGGCCCCTGGGGTATAGAAACCCTTTTTTGTATTCTAATGTTATTTTTGTAGCATATACTATTTTAAAATAAGATTGATTGGCAGAACTCTGCAGGGCCACGACTGCAGACATCCTACCAGTTCCTGACTTTGTTTTCAGCCGCCTCATATTCTTTCCTAGGAACACTTCATGTGTTGTAAAAGACAGCATCATCGTTTTGACCACCTTCAAAGTAATGAAACAACACTCCTTTAGTCATCCATTCAGACTATTCTAAATAAGTCAAATGGCCTTGCAGATTTATTAAGTAAATGAATATGTATTGTGGACTAAAGCCTGGAGACATCTGTCTCAGTCATCTCTTATGGAATTGTTGATTCTATTGTGAATGCCAACCATTACACTATTGTTTAAAGAGAAAGCATTCTGAAATTCATGTTTCCAAATATATGCAGTGACAGGGATAATGTACATTTAATCTCTGCACAAACTTCTAAGCATTCAGGAAGTTAGAGGCTGCTTTCTCTAACTATTGAAAAAGAGAATATCTACTTGGCCAGTAGATTGCCTTTGAGGTAGTCTTCACTTTAAATATTGGGAGGAATATCAAAGCTAGTTAGTCCTCAGTGCTTTAATTTTTTTTTAAATTAATTATCTGGTCATCACTTAGGTGATTGTAGAATTGAGATTTAACCCAGAGTCCAGCTCTAGAGTGTCCTTTCTGAACCCCTCTACTACACTACCCCTTAGATCCACCACGGTGGCTATCTCAATTTATAAGGATGTCCAGCACAGTCCTTTTCAAACTAAAAGAGGGAAAACAGAGCCCTGTCTTAAATCTTCCATTTAATTTGCTTACATACCATTTGCATTTTTAAAAGTGATGTAGTGTTCTTTTGTCCAGGGCTCCATTTAAATTGTAAGGTGGCACTCACATGCAAAACCACACAGCTTACAATGCACACGAATGTGGCAAATGCTTTTCTCACAGTAAACTTGCATATTCATTTTTTTTTAAAAAGAAAGTTATTTCTAGTGTTTCATTCTGCCAGGCAGCACAGAGACAGTATTAAAACATTAGGATGCTCGTTTCCACAACAAATAAGTTGCTTGTTCCAGTTTGGAACAAGTTCTTTTTCCTGGTGGTTTATATAACTTGCCCAAAGGGAAACAGAAGCTGTTTTTAAGTTGATTACTTTATTAGGAATACACAAAATTCCTCCATTTTCAAGACCTCTCTATCCTTAGACGTATAGAGCTTTGACAAGGGATTGGATTAGAGTCACATGCAGGGTCACAGACAACACAGTTGTGTTTCTTGCAGTCATCATTATCCCTGTAAATTTCTCCTTCCTTATCTGTGAAACAGAGCACCTGAGGTCCCCCACTGACACCTAAGAAAGTTCCAGGACTCAGCCAGTGAAAGTGTTTGCTGTCAGACCTGATTACCTGAGTTTACTCACCGGATCCCACAGTGGAAAGAGAGAATCAACTCCCAAACATTATCCTCCAAATTCCACACATGTGCTATGGCCACACTCACATCATATGTGCACACATACATAAATACATACACATACAAACACACATAATAAGTTAAAAACAGAAAATTCCTATCACTGTAACAGGCACAGAGTGGATAAGCAAAACTTTTTTTTTGGATACAGTTAATTTTAAATCAGATCATAATGACAGCATAATTTATTTAATTTGAAGATAGGAAACTAATTGATATGTTACTTTGCATATATATGACTTCAAAGCAAATTATGATTATAGTATTTCATAAGTATAAAACATAAATGTGCTTGTTACACATATAGTTTCCAGCATATACATATCAGCATTATCCATGTGGAGAATTTGGGTGAAAAAATGGATTGAATTTTTCACTGCAGTGAACTACAGAAGCTACTTAGACACTCAAGGATCCACCTACATAAAAGTGTGTGTCTGTCTGTCTGTATGTCTGTGTGTCTGTGCGTCTGCGTGTGTCTGTCTGTGTGTATTTGTTATGTGGTACAGCATGTGACCAATGAGTAAGCACATACAAGAGGAAACCAGAGCAGAACTTTTTGTGTCTTCCTCTGTCACTCTCTCCCATGCTATCCTGAGATAAGATCTCTCACTGAACCAGCAACTCATTGATACTTAGTCCAGGCTGACTGACCAGTGAGCTCTCAGGATCCATCTGTCTCTGTACCCCTGTTCTGGGGTTATGGGCATGTATAGCCATGCCTGATTTTTTAAAATAAATAATTTATTGAGAAATTCGTACATGCATATAAGGTGTTTTGATCAAATCCATGCCCACTGCCTCCCTCCAACTCTTCCCGTATCTCACCATCATTTATTTCTGATAACTTCATGTGCTCTTTCTTCTTCTTTGATTTACTTTTTTATGGAACTTTTGGCTACTCTAACATTCCCCCTCTGAAGAAGTAACCTTAAAATCTTTTAGGGATTAGATAAAAGCTCCAAAATATTTTCGACATTTTTCGCCTTTGGAACAGAGTATGTTGCTAAGAGGCCCAAGGACATTTTGACTTTTAGCCAAGAAACTGGTTAAGTTTCTTTGGGGTCTTTTTACCCTAGCTGCCTAGCCAATTCCTACCTCCTATTCTTATCACAACATCCTCTGAAGAGGTTACCCAGATTGCAGATAGGGAATCATCAAGACAGAGACTGCTCTGGCCTCTTCCGTGCTGAACAGGGATGCAGGGTGAGGCAAATGGAGTACCCCTTCAGTGGGTCTATCTAAAAGACTCCCAAATTGCATCACTCTTATCACTAGGAGGAAAAGAAAGTCCTTGAGTTATGAATAGGAGATGTGAAGGAGAAGTAAAGGCAAGAGTAATTAGCATTACAAGTTCTAGACAGGAAACTAGAAAAAACTCAGAACAGGACAATTTTCAAATTTTCACGAGAGTCCATTGGAATTTCTTGACAAGGGCTTCCAAAAGCATCCCTCTAGTGGGTTCCTCCTCATTTTTCTTTTGTCTTCCAAGGCTGGACTCAAGAGTGATGGATTCAGGATTTGCTTTCAGGTATTTTGATAGCTGTTGGAGTGGTTAGAATCAGTGTTAGTTCCCTCTCAAAGGCTTCTAGGTAGGGGGAGAAAACAAATTTATCCATCATTTTAGAACAATAGCTGGTTGTCTCCCTTAGCTACAGGTGGGCACTACAGTATTGGAGACAAAGACTTGAAGTCTTACATCTGAGCAGTCTTACATTCTGGTTAGGAACAAAATCATCAATGAGAAATAATTGTCTAAATAAACTTTTTATATAGACTTAAGCCTAATTTGAACTCTTAAAGAAATATACTGATGACTTTACTCTTTGGTTGTACTTTCCTTTTGGGTGTTTAAGACCATACAGTTGGCCCAAATATATCAATCTATTTTTACACTTAAGGTCATTTGAGGATCTACTCCTCGGGGGTCACATGGGCTTGGGAGGACCTCCTGGCTCCTTTCTTTTACTGGATTTATATGAAGATAA